TCAATCACTGATCGTTCGATACCACGAACTGTGAAGTAATTTACAACGAATGGAAACATTTTCTTGTGACCTTTGTTAGATGCATCGAATGATAAAGAATAAAAACCGGATTTATTAATCATTTCTGTAATTTGAAAAGTCATAAATGGAGCTAAAAAAAAGATCGTAAAAAAATAAGAAATATTCGTCTAACGATCTTTACCCTTCTTCTCTAATTGGTCAGTATACATCTGTTTTAGAAAAGAATTATTACTCACCTAAAACATTAGCAGCAATTTCACGAGCTTTAGTTCGTCCACATGTGAGATTTTTTCCAACAGTTGAATCTTGAAACAATTTCTTTGAGACATCAGCAGTGCATGCCTGACTCAAATAGCTATGTCCATGACGTATTCCATGATAAACTAATGTGATTTCAGTAGCAACCAACTTTGTCAATTCAGTCGAGTGAGGAATAAAATCAACCATTGAATGTGCTAAAAGACAATAGATCAACATAATCAGTATTCTTTTGAATTAATGAACAAACTAAATTACATTTGTGTTTAGCTTCTGCTGCTACTAGACGCTTCGTGATTCGCTTGTTCAAGATGACGATCGATCAAATATTTCCCACCATTAGCAATTGAAAAATTCGATTTACACACAGAACAATGTGCAAGTGATGAATCTGTTCGACACTCTTGTAAAAATGATGCATATTTCGAAATTTTAATCCATTCTTTGTTGAACTTGCAATATCTTTTTGATTTTGATGAAGAATTCAATGATTTTCTTTCTATATTGAAAGATAATCTAGACATAGAACTTGATGTTTCTTTTGGTGTTATTGTTTTTTCAAATTCGAGTGTCATGGAATCATTCTCTTCCTCAATGACTTCAATATCTAGTTCAATAGAATTATCGTTGTTCATTTGCTGCATAACTAAAATCTACAATAATTCCTCGGTATTTTGCAATAAATATATATGAATTCTTTTAATAGAAAACTATAATCGATTAGAAACACGATTTTATTTCGATCGTGAGATTCAAATTGCAAAAGAGAAGGAAAGACAAATGCTAAGAATAACAATGTCCTGTATTGGTCATGAATCAGCCAATGTAATTGACTCTTCGTATCTCTACTATTCAAATGAAGATGTCAACTACAGTCAATAAGTTTATCGATTTTAACAAAATATGATTTTAATCTTATGCAAAAGGA